ATGTCTCTTAGGTTCATTTGAGTCATAACACCTATTAGCTTCATTATTTCTGTTTAGTTTTTGTCTGGATGACCTGTCTACTGGTGAGAGTGGGTATTGAAATCTCTTACTATTAATGTATGAGATTCAATGTGTGATTTAAGCTTTAGTCTTGTTTCTTTAACAAATGTGGGTGCCCCTGCACAGATATTTTAATTAAGGATTAATTAAAATCATTTTGTTGGATTTTTCTTTTGATGACCATGAAGTATCCTTTCCTGTCACTTTTAATTTTGACTTGAAGTCTATTTTGTTAGTTGTTAAAATGGCTAACATCACCAGTTTGCTTCTTATGTCCTTTTGGTTGGGAAAATCTTTTTCCAACCCTTTACTCTGAGGTAATGCCTATCTTTGATGTTGAGGTGTGTTTCTTGTATACAGCAGAAGGATGAATCCTGGTTTCCCATTCATTCTGTTAGTTTGTGTCTTCTTATTGGGGAATTGTATCCATTGATAATTTAGATATTACTTATCAATGATTGTTAATTCCTGTTATTTTGTTGTTAATGGTAGTGTATGTTTCCCTTGTTTTTGTTTTGATGGTGTGAGATTTTTTTTCCTGTGGTTTCATGGATTAACCTCCTTGGGTTGGAGTTTTCTTTCTAGTATCTTCTGTAGGGCTATATTTGTAATTAGATATTGTTTGATTTGACATTATCATGGAATATCTTATTTTCTTCATCTATGGTGATCAAAAATTTTTCTGGTATAGTAGGTTGGGCTGGCATCTGTGGTCTCTTAGAGTCTGCAGGACATCTGTCCATGCTCTTCTTCTGGCTTTTAGAGTCTCAATTGAGAAGTTAGGTATAATTCTGATAGGTCTACATTTATATGTTACTTGGCCTTTTCCCCTTGCAGATGTTAATATTCTTTCTTTGTTCTATATATTTGTTTTGATTATTAAGTGGTGAAGGGGGGGTCTTTCTTTTCTGGTCTAATCTGTTTGCTTCTTGCTCTGTTATAAGCATGTCCTTCATTAGCTGAGGGAAATTTTCTTCTGTGATTTTGCTGAAAGTATTTTTTTTTTTGGTCTTTGACTGGAATTCTTCTATTATTCTTAGATTTGGTCTTTTCATAGTGTCCCAGATATTCTGAATGCTTTGTGTCAGAAATTTTTCAGATTTAACATTTTCTTTGACCAATGAATCTACTTCTTCTATTGCGTATTCCATTCCTGAGATTCTCTCTTCCATCTCGTATTCTTCTGGTGATGCTGGCATGTGTAGTTTCTGTTCATGTACTTAGATTTTCCATCTCCAGAATTCCTTAAGTTTGTGTTTTCTTTGTTGCTTCTATTTCCATTTTGAGGACTTGAACAGTTTTGTTTCCCTCAACTTTTTTTCCTTGGCCTTCTTTAAGGGATTTTTTTTTAATTTCCTGCCTAAGAACTTCTATCATTTTCATAAGATTGGTTTAAAGGTCTTTTTCTTGTGCTTCAGCTATGTTGAAATTTTCAGGGTTTTCTGTAGGAGGATCACTGGGTTCAGGTGGGAACATACATTGCCCTGGCTGTTGTTGATTGTGTTCTTATTCTGGCATCTGGGTTTGGGGTGACTGTAGGTCTGATTTCTGAGATTGTCTTTGTTGGATGGAATGTTTATTCCTTGGTTTCTGTTTACTCTTTGGTCTTTGTAGATTGGAATTTTGGTGGCCCAGTGTGTTCTCTGGTCCAGCAAGGAGTCTCTGTCTAGGTTGGGGGCTGGACTTCTGGAGACTAATGTGGCCTTTAGTTGAGCAAGGGGTCCTCGCCTGGCATGGCCTGCACCTGAGCAGTGGATATCTGCCTGAGTTGGGGACAGGGACACAACAGCAGAGGTGAATGGTGGGGCAGAAAAGGGGTAGCAGTAGTTTGGGTGTTTGAGAACTGAACAAGGGGGTGGGAGAGTTCTTGGGCAGGCTGGCGGTTTATCTGCTCTTCTGAATGGGTATAATTATATGTATGTGAGTGTGCTTGTGTGTTCACCATGTCCATTCAGGAGGTCAATGAACTTCACGGAGCTGGAATTAGGTGTTTGTGAGCCACCGTATGTAGATTCTGGGAATGAGCACTCTCAACCATGGAAGCATGGTTCCAACCCAGGTGATGTAATCTTATATGACCACTATTGTATGTTATGGCTGGGGTATCACTGACACATGACAATTCTGCTTTGGTATACACAACAGAACTGTTATTATTAGGACATGTTGTAATTGTTTTTCATTTTTTATCATAAATCTGGTCACATTCCTCCCTCCACCTTCTCCTTTGTTTTCTTTTAAATTTTGGAGGAATTGACACTGTTGTCCACAGTAGTTAAACCATATTTTATTTCCCATGGGCAACACACCTTTATTAAACTTTTTTTCTCCCAGTGCAGAGGATCAAATGCAGGCCTTGTCCATGCTAGGTGAATGCTCTACCACTGAGCTTTTGCCCCAGCCCATACCAAACTTGTTACTTATTCAAAAATAATCATCCTAAAGAGTATGAAATGGTGATACATTGTGGGGCTTTTTCCTTTTGAGAAAGCCCTTTTCTACGTAGCTCATTCTGACCTTGAGCCTTTACAGACAGTTGGTCTTCACAGCAATGCACTGTGGTTGACTTATATTTCTATACTATTTACCCGATACAATGACTGTTTAAATCCTTGCCCGAGGAGTGGTTTTTAAGCTGTAGGAATTTTAAGCCATTATGGATTTGTTCATTTTTGATTTTAAGTATGTTCTCCTGTGCCACAGGCTGCTTTTTCACTTACTCCATAGGATCCTGTTGATGTACAAAACCCCTTAAATGTTGATGTGTTTTTGTTGTCTGGTATGGTTTGGATAGATTTTCTGAGTTTATATGCTTGAAATTTAACTCCTAGTTTCATATGTTGATGGTATTTGGAAGAGAGCAGCGCAGTGGGAGATAATTAAGACTGGGTGAGGTGTTCGGGTGGTGCCTCCCTGATGAGATTGGTGCCTTTGCATGCCTGTTTACACACAACGTGGTGTCTGACATGGTTACCATACAGGTACCACCCCTTGATACCAAACTTCAATTTCCAGAGCTGTAAGAAATAATTTTCTTTATAAATTATCCATTATAACAACATAAAGGAACTAAGTGTCATAGCTAAGAAATTATTGCCAACTCTGATGTCAAGAAGGATTCCCTCTCTGTTTTCTTCTAAGAGTTCTTATTTTTTGGCATTACTCCAACATCACGTGTTGAAAAATGATTCTTTCCCTACGAAAATGGTCTTGGCACTTTGTTGAAATCTTGGTTATACATATGAGGGTTTGATGTTGGGCTTTAAAAAAAAGCTCTCAGACAAACATGTATTATATATTGCATGTCGAACAGGAATGTGTAGATAGCTAATTCCAACAAGTTAAAAATTTTCCAGTTGCCTAAAATATTCTAGAATTATGTCTGGCCAGTCAGAAAATTCACTCTGCCAATCCCAGACAAACCAACAGTAGCCAGACTGATGCTCCTGGGGACCACCGGAAAATCAAGCTGTCAGTATCTCTCCAATATCTTTTTAACAGAGAATTTGGGATTAAACAGTATATATACAATATTATTTCCTATAAGCACCTATATATACCTGGTTCTTGTATGTATGAAGAACAATGTAAAATTGTAGAGGGAGGCCGCAGGGCATTTGGTGAATCAGCTGTACAAATAGGGAGACTGTTCTTGGTATCTAACAGGCTTGAGGACAGATGTTCTGACAGGTGCACAGTCTCACCTGGACCAGATGTGAGATTATACCCATGGCCACACTCCCCTTGACTTCCTTTCACCCATAGAATCTTCTTTTAAAATCACAGCTAAACATAATACTTCCTCTCAGTGGATGAAGTTAATATGGTACCTCCATTATATCCAAAGGAGGCTCCATCCTTTGGCTTCTGGCCAAATGAGGACCTCTGTTGATCTCATGATGGCTATTATGTTTTAAGTTTAAATTACTATGCTTAAGAGATCTGTAAGATAAAAATACCTCTAAGCCTCACGTGCCCAAGGACAAATAGCTTCCCAGAATGCTGGGGGCTATTCTTATAATTGCCTGGTCTTGTACAATTTTAACAAAACTGTTGCTCATGTAAGGTAACCAACCACATGCTTTTGCTCCTTTAAACAAGCTAGCTTGCCCATGATTGTACATAGACGGGATATGTGTTCAGTTACATGTAGGCAGGTAGTAAGTCAGGATGTGCTTGCCCCTGATTGCACGAAGGAAGAAAGTGTATAGCCTTGCAAGTTTTGCCTTTATAAGTTGCTGACTAATGTAATTCGGTGCTACACCTTGGGAATCCCAAATATTGGCCTGGCATCAGTATCTGAATAAAGCCTCTTCTTTCTTTAAAACCTATTCATGGTCAGACTGAATCTCTGAACGACTCCAGGGCCCTAGTAATCTCATTTGGGAGTTAACTTCCACCTAGTAATCTCATTTGGGAGTTAACTTCCAGGCAGAAAACTGAGGAAGGAGGCATAGGGTGCAAGGGGATCCCACTAAGGCTTTGCCTATTCTGGCTTGGGACAATGGTTCCCAGCTTCTAGAACATGCTTGAGTCCCACTACAGTATACTTAACTCACCTCTTTGAGATGTACAACGTGGATATCATTTTAAAAGTCTCCCTAGTGATTTTTTTTTGTTCTGTGACCTGATTGAGAATCCCGGCCCAGAGCAACAGTGCATGCTCCAGGAATTCTCTGAAGTTCCCAGAACCATCCCTAGCGCAGTTACAGGAAGTGGTTCTTGGGGTCACACAATGAAAAACAATGGATCTGAGGAGTGTGCTATATCCTAAGCTCCTTAGGATAGGGGACACAGGAGTGACACTGGGTGGGGCTAGTGAAGTGAGACTGTGAGAGGAGGTGGCATTTCTCTTCTTCCTGGGGCAAGGTTTATATCTGCACATTTACCCTCAAAAGCAAAAACCAAAATAACGGAACAAAACCAGTCTGGCTGCTCACCTGGCCCCAGCTGGAGAAAGCCCACTCCACACACAGTTGCTGGTTACAAGCCTGAGTGTCCACAGGCCGTTTGGCCAGTTGGGTGCACATGTCATTGGACACTGGGGTAGAAATCCCAGAGGCTTTCAACTTCTGACAGGTCACCCGGCGGGTCTGGACACCTCCACCGCAGCTCCGGGTACAGGCAGACCAGGAAGTCACCATCCACCTGAGGAGAAGGAGGATATGAGGGCAACTAAGGCCTGAGGGAGACAAACCTTGCTTGTCCCTCTCAGCACACACAGATGCTAACTTGCTTGTAAATAAGGGCATTTCACTGCTAGTTTGTGAGACAGGGCCTCATTGCGTGACACAGGTTGGCTTTAGACTTGTGATGCTTGATTGCTGGAGTTATAGGCATGCACCATAGTTAGGATTTGGAGAGGAGATTATATGAGCAGACCCTTACCAGAGGGAAATGCATGTAGGATAGAGGCGGCAGTATGACCAGGGGACAGGAGCTTCAGTTTTGTGCAGCCACAAACCAGGGACTTTTAGAGGTACTGGAGTACAGGAGTAACAAGGAGCAAATTCACCCCTTGAGTCTTTACAGAGGGCACATGGCCCTGTGGATGGCTTGGTTTCTGGTCTTCAAAATGGAGTTTCATGATGCCATTTAGACAAATTTTTCTTGCAACTTCAGGAAATGGACAAAAATTGGGACACTGACAAGGAAAGATTATTTTGAGGGTTTTGATAGCTTTAAGTTCCCCACACTAACAAACCTACAGATAGAAAGCTTTTAGTTAGAAACTCACATTACAGTATGTCATCAGGGAAGGACGTTTTCCTAGGAAAGTCAGGTCCAAACACATTACCTCTTGACCTAGGAGACAATCTGAGTTTCACCGAGGTCAAGGTTTGGTCTGGAACCTTGCTCCACCTTTCAGAAATAGTCAAACATCACTCTATATCTCTAGGGTAATTCCTACCATTAGTAAGTCAGTGTAGACATCATACCATATATCTTAGAGAGTTAGATGTGTAGTATCAATATCTATTCTCAGACTGTTAGGATTCAAGCATAATTTAAGTTCCTAGAAGTAAAACCAACCAAGGCTATGACAAATGGGTTTTTCTTAGTAAGTCATTCTGTAATCTGGAGACAGTGTGAAGTTCTAATCCATAGTGTATATGTAACCATGCAGGAACCTTCTTCTGCATGTGTGCACACACAGATAATTTCCAGGGAGTAGAACAGTTAAGAGGCATGGTACTTTCTGGTCAATTTTATAGACTCTAGGAACACCCCACCAGTTGTGATACCTGGAGTCTGGGACTAGAATTGCAAAGTAGATGAACAGCTAGCTATTTGGGTTAGAACAGATGTTTTAGTACAACAGAGGATGCTAATGTGTTTCTCAAGCCCGACTGGCACTCTAGTCAAATGGAAACCTATGGCAGCATCCTGTGTGTTATTTGTGGGCTGGGACAGCAGTGGGACCCAAGCGGCTAATTGCGGCAGGGCCCAAGCGCCTGGCAGGAAGACTACATTCCCCCACCAAGTGGGACCACATTTAATTTTCAAAAGAAGCATGTGGAGAGAAGGGCAACAGATTCCTTTTTGCATTAGGACCTGCAACTGACTTAGTTTGTGGCTGTTTCTCTCCTCTTCGGCCTGAGGAGTATGACTTTATGTGGATTTCTAGGTCAAGGGAACATTGTGTTTAGGAAGCAGGCACAAGGTGTCTTAAATCCACTGGAAGCATTGAAACCTAAGAAGAGACAGCCATTGCCACTTCAGTTGCTGAAGTAAATTAGGCTGATTAACTCTGACCATCACCAAATCAAATCACAGAGTTCCTGGCACGTAAAAGATCTCTTCTTCATTTCATGCAGCTTGGCAAGGGCAGTCTTCCAGATCCTTCTGTCCCTGGTGAATGTCAGGCCTGCATTTCAATCAACTTTGATTTCTAAATATACATTTCAGTGAAGTTTTCAGGAGCTGGGGTGGGGGTTTTGAGAAAGCAGAGCTATGGGCTATGTTACCATTCAGGAAGGGTATAAAGGGACATTAATCATTCCGGTGGAAACCTTCCCGTCAGCAAGTCAAACTGCTGATATTAATGAGTGTGTTTCAGATTTCATGCAGTCTCTCCTAGGCTCAGCTGCTCTGTGGCTCAGCTGGCAAAACACAAAGCGGCTGCCTGAGCAGGATAGCAAAGTCCTACATACGGGTCATAAAAGGGCATTTCAGGTCCTAGCCAAGTCTCCCGGGTTGCAGAGTGCCATGCTGGTGCCAACTCCAACCCCGTCTGCTATCCGTTAGCTACTGCCTGAAGACTTGGGGATATGAGCTCAGTGGGACTCAGGGCTTCCTGAAGCCAAAGTTACATGAGAGGAGGAGATGGTGGTGGGTGCCATTGCAGCCTGAATGCGAATCTCAAGTGCAGGGACTGCATCTAGAGAGAGCAGCTGTAGAAAAATGGAGATGCATTCCAACTTCAGCGAGATGCAACCACGTTTTGAAAAGATAAGTTTTCCTTAACTAAACCAGAGCACTAGCTAGCAGAGGTATTTAGTTAGACAGAAAGGAAAAAGTTGGAGTTGAGCCCAGTACCCCTGGTCTCCTCAACATTTCAATAGGAAATACAGTTCGAACAACCCAGAAAGTCAGGTTGTTATTGCAAGATGGGCGTTACCTCGGGTCCCACCCTGGGACGTTCTTCTTTATAGGACAGACTCTCAGGACTTGACAGCCAAGGTAACTTCAGCTGGCTGTAGGGTGAGGGGGTAAGGAGAGCTGAAAGCAGAGGCCAGCTCTGAGGATATTGCCAGTGTGGTGGGCAGGAACAGCTCATCTCTTTCTGCATGGTGCTCAACAACTAGCTAGTAGTCAGGGCCAGTGGCTGGCTGGGGTAGGAAGGGTACACTTACCGAGAAGGACAGTCTCTCCGGTTGCAGGCCACGGGCTGCACGGCGGGCCGGGGTTTTCCAGCACAGTGCTCAGGGTTAACCTCCGTGTTGTTCAGCAAACACTTGAGGCGGGGCTGATGAACCCCTCTATTACCACAAGACGCTGAGCAGGTGGAGAGTCTGTCCACGGACCACCAGTAATCTGTCACGGGGGAGGACCAGAGGGGAAGAGGACATGGTGTTACGGCCCACACTTGTCCTTTTAAGGGTAGGGGAGTGGGATAGAGGAGCTATATAAAAAGCCATCTGCCTAAGAGCAGCGACATTCCAACAAACTTGGGCAAGGCTGATGGGCTCCGGGAGCCTCAGTGGACTTACCCAGAAAAGGAACACAGAGCCCCTCACCTCATGAAGTACAGTGAGAAATGAGTAAAACCAGAAGGAAAGGGCCTAGCTCCATCAGTACCAGGCAGAGTATCTAACCAAGAGACATAGTGCTTATTGTTTTTAAACATACTTGCTCAAGTACTTTTTTTTCATATTGGTTCACCAGACAGTGGCTTTATTTTTCTACAGAGTGGTATAAATATATCATAGTATTTAATCATATCTAAAAGCATGGATTTGCCTTGGTATTTGTAAATTTCATAAAACGGTCTATCCAGAAAGTTCTCCTTCACGTGAGACAATGAGGTGAGGGGAACAGCACAGTGTTTTGGCTTTTCTGTTTGGGGAAGGCTGTGTTGCCTGGGATAGTTGGAGTACACCTTTGTGAATGCCTGCAAGTTACAAACACAGCAGACAGGCAGCGAGAAGGGGGACATGTGTTCTCCCATTTGGACACCCAAGCGGCAAGGGAGGTTGTTCCAGAGAAGACCTGTGTGCTTGGAGAAACCTCTATCCTTTTATGCAGTATTAGTAAGAGCAGGCCACCTCCCCACAGAGTCCTACTCAGTCTTGGGAGCCCATTCCATAGCCTTTGCTTACCTCAAGAGAGTCACATATAGAACACCAGAACCAGCCCATGGAAAGCAGCCTCCCGCAGTCTCCATAGAGAAGCCTGCTTGGGCTTTCTTCCCGCTGCCTTCAGCTTATTAGCATCCCCAGCTAGTGCAGTGAGTGCAGACTTGCTGACCTGCCTGTACTACTGGAAGGCTCACACCTGAGTCATGCAGGCAGCCTGCCTTCCTGCTAGTGCCAGTGCCAAAGGAAAGGCGCTTGGAAGGCCCTTTGCTTGTGACTATGGCTGAACACCCTGGAATGTGAGGCCTATACTGCTCTCTCCAGGCAGAAGGCAAGTGACCAAGTTGGCTAGATCAAGATGTGCATTTAAACAGAATCAGCAGAGAAGACATGGATTTAAGAAAAATTCGCTGTGTATAGTCTTTCCTAGTTAAATCAGTTTAAGGGAAACCCACAGTGATGCCCTCTCCACCCTGACTTTTCCAGGTTCTGCTGGGCTAGGTCCCAGGTGCTCTGCTGAAGGGGGTGGCAGAAGTTAAGGTTTCACAACACATAGCCATTATCCAGCAGAGAGTATGTTCTACTAGAGAATGGACTGCTGCTCCAATCCTAGAGAAGCCTCACCTTGGATCACCAAAGATGCTTTCTGTACGAGGGTTCCTGCTTCATTCTGAGCCAGGCAGCTGAACTCCCCTTGAGGTCCTCCACTGAGATTTGCAACCTGGAGGATCTGTCCAGCTTCCCAGATGTGGTAGGTGAGCCCTGGGGTAGCGGCAATCGGCTGGCCATTTTGGAACCAGGTGATATTGGGGGTGGGGTGACCTTTGATGGGACAGCCTAGAAGAAGAGAGAAGACAGTCATTGGTACAGCCAAAGCCCACATTCCCGGTGAGCTCGCAAGTGTTTGCATGGCTCTAGGAATTGTACACATGTCATGGTCTTACTGATAGTATTTTGATTATGCCTGTTTTTCCCAAGGAAAGGGGGTATTTTCACTTTGTGGACTTCAGGGAGGGTGACTCTTCTTCACTCAGCTCAATAAGAATTCATGAAGAACACAAAGTGAATGGGTTTCTCCCTGTCTCTACACTAACTTTCTAAAACAATGGCACAATTGCTATTGATTCAGAAGTTTTTTTCCTGGTAACTCTTCCACTAATTCATTTATAAAGGAAGTTTTTCTTCAAATGTTGGGTAAAAATACAATATTCTTAAATAAAACTTAAGAAACTTCTACTAATTTAAATGTGATCTCTGCTGCCATGTTACTTTATATTATCTTGAAGTAATAGACCTTCAGCAGACACTAGGAAAGTAATTTTATGCATTGGCCTCATTTGTTCATAAATGAAGAGCCATGATATTTTGACAACTCTTAACCAAGCATGGATTGGATATGTGCAACCCTAACCTTATCTACATAATGTGGATTAGGTATGTGCAGCTCTATTCTATGCAGCTATAACATATTTTGATACATTAGAATTATGTTGAATACATGTTATGAAATTGGTAAAATAGATAGCCATTGTGAGGAAAAATGCATTTTCTTTGAGTCTAGGACACTTGTTGTATTTGCTGTTGTAGCCCAATGACTTAGCCTCACTAAGAAAGTTGTTTTGAGGCTCACAGTGCATACCGAATTATTAAAATGCAGAGGAATTGAGGTTTTGCTTCAGTTCAGTTCAAGACAAGTATTTACTTGGCACCTACAGTTCTGGGGATTTAGGAAGGCAGTTGGGGGAGCCTCCTCTCTTCCAAGAAGCTCCCAGCTCGTATGGAATTAAAAAGACAAAGTAACAGTGTGACTGTTTGGATGTAGGGAGGGGACCAGTGTGAGAGGAGGGATAGAGAGGATCCTGTATGGGGGCAACTGAGAGCCAAGAGCAATGAAATAAACACACACCCAGTGAAACCTGCTATTTTGCAAACTGAGGGGATTTGACTAATTGTTCACAGAAGCTGCACAGTCAGAATTTGTGTATTTCAACATCTATAAATCGTAGGGTAGAAGCATAGATTCAGGAATGGCATTTAATGCTGCTCCATGGTGGGGGAGGGAGGTTCATGTGCTGTTTTATTTCCTTGCTATGAGTCCAAAATTATTCATAATTCATGTTTACATTATTTCATTCATTGATCTTCAGGAATAACTCAGTGTCTAAATAATTACCTTTCTTATAGCTAGTTTTGTCAACTTTTTTTCCATAAGATTTCAATAAGAGTTTTCTAAAGGGTTTTGAAAATACATTCATTTTTAAATTTTATGTATATGAGTTTTGCCTGCTTGGCATCTCAGAAGTCAGAAGGTGAGAGATCCCTTGGAACTGGAGTAATGGATGGATGTGAGCCACCGCGTGGGTGCTGGGAACTGAACCCAGTCCTCTGCAAGAGTAGCCAGTGCTCTTGATCAATGAGCCATCTCTCCAGCTCCTTTCCTAAATGTTTTATAGTTTACTCAAAAGTTCTTGGTGGTTCACCTTCCCTCACTCAGCTCTGGTGGAGTCAGAGATTATTGTCACTCTTGATTCTGACAATTTTTACTTGGCTGTCCTCTAGAGGATGCTGCTGGAAACCTCCTGGTTTTTTTTTTTTTTCTTTCTCAGAGAAAATAAAAATCCTGAATTTCAGATGCATGCTGCTCAGGCTGGAGGCACAAGAACTGTAGCTCCCAGTTCCATTCTGGGAATGGAAAGGGAGAGTGATGGTGCAGAAACAAATGGCTTGTTCTGTCCCCTTCCCTCCCTACTGCTAATGAGGGTGTGTACGGCATCCCGCCATTCTGTTGGCTTTCTCTCTTGGGAAGGAAAGGGCATCAGCACTCTTTGGCCAGAGCCATAGGAGTCTAAGCAAGTTTACCCTCAAGCCTAGCAGGCAATGCTATTTTGCCAGGCCAGGCTGGGCTATCTTCCTGTATAGCAGGACTCGAAACAGGAATGTCTTTCAGGGCTCTTAAATTCTGCTGGGTAAGCAGCCAGGGAAGGGGACTTACTCTAGGTGTCTGCTAAGTGGGGTTCAGGGTCTGCTCCACATGGACCCATGGTTGGTTGGTTGGTTGGCTAGATGAATGTGGGTGGGTGGGTGGGTAGGGGAGGAAAATGGCCCTGAGAATCTCTTCCTAAAGTTCAGGTTGGACTCTAAGGAGTCCCAGATAGGCACAGTGGAGGTGTGGGTGTTTGAGGTCTTTGTTACAGGTTGTTGAATACACACCTGAATTAAGGCACTCTTAAATTCCATCCACCCTCCTAAGGCCATGTGCATTTTGCTGTATGGATGATGGCATTTCCTCTACATCAGGACACTGACCAAAGACAGTGCAATTTTAATGTGTGAGATTATTCATCCTGAATTGAAAAATTGTCTTAGGAAAGTCTATCTTTGATCTACTTTTCAAAGAGGGAGACCAGAAGCATAAATTCTAAACAAAGTAAATAAAAATTGTCTGTCGCCTGCCTTATCTATGGCTGTTTTGTCTTTCAGTGTTTGTGACTGCACACACAGGTGTCCTCAAAACATCCTTTGTACTTAGTAGTAGTATTCTTAGTGCACACGCAGTACAGGCTTCTGGGCTTTTACATACATACATACATACATACATACATACATACATACGTGTGTGTGTGTGTGTGTGTGTGTGTGTGTGTGTGTCTGAGGATTACCAGCAGCAATAGTCAAAATAAAGGTCTAACATGAATTCCCACAGTGTATGTTCCCAGAGAATAATTACCCATGTTTCATTGCTAATGAGAAAACCTGGCTTGTAACAGGGGTTCCTTCTGTCACGGATATTTCTCATTTGTTAAGGTAAAGACATATCAATCATTTCCTTTTAAAGCTGAGCACACCATTTACAAGGACATCCAAAACTATGCTATGTATTCCATGCCTCCAAAGAGGCCAAGTAAGAACCCCGAAAGCCCAGTTTCAGCTTTAGTGAGAAATGTAGCAGTGTTTAATGCCTGGGGAATGTAGAGGGGTGGACGTCTCTTTTTCCTGCATTCTTCCTCGCTTCCTAAGTGCCAAGCTCTCCTATTCCTCAAGCCTGGGTGTCTTCCTGAGGAAGCGGACAGTCAGAGGGGTAGACAGCACTCATCCCTCAGACCTCGGCTGTTAAGAGAACTGGGGCTGTGAGGTAGTGGAGGGGAAGCAGGGTTTGGGAAAGCTGCCTAGCTAACGAGAGTTCTGGCAGCAAAAATCCTCCCTCCCCAACCCTTCTTAACCAGCGAAAGAAAACACCGCCTTTAGGCTTCCATTCTTAGGCCTGTTGTGGTTCTCAGTTGAGCCAAAGCCAGGTGTGAGCGCATGGATGAAGTTGTGCTTTCATTTTGATCATCACCGTCATCACCTCCCCTTCCTCCTCCAACATACGGACTGTGCAGCAAACCACGTATAGAGTGAAGGTGTACCAAATAAGAAAAGTTGTATAAAAATTCTCATTTCTGATTACTGTTACTTTGAATACAGGCAAAAGCATGTCTCCTCCTAATGTCTCTAACATTCCTGAACAATGATAGGAAGCAGGGAAGAGGCCAAAGAGTACTTGGGACTAGGAAGCATGAGTCAAAGGCCATGGAATTCCGCATCATTGGCTCCACACATGGCAGTCAGTGGCTCCCGTGAGCACAGGGATTCCATCCAGCCAATCCTCTTGCTTCTATCAAATGTCTCCTCACTGACTTTCATTAGTTCCAAGTCCTGACTGTGCTTTGGTGTTTAGAACTGTAGTAGTAGTCTTAGGGAAACAGCCCAAGTCTGAGAGACATACTGGTGTAGAAAAGCGGGTGGCTTGGTGGCCCTGGCTTCCAGCTTCCCTGCACGCTGTATGCATTGGAGATGCTAGGGACCTTGAAGGTAACGTGATAAGGCTGCCTTTGAGGCACCATCTCCAAAGAGGTTCTGAACTCACGTCGATCATTAGTCGGTAGATTTTTTTTTGATGGTGCTGTTAATTTAAAGGTTGAAAACCCCCTCTCTTCTGGAGAAGAAAAAGACAGAGTAGGTCATGGGGGAACAGGAAGTTGAGTGGGTGGGGGTAGAATAGGGGGAAGAGGGAATCATAGGTTAGAAGACGGATCAGGCACCAGAGTGACCTCCAGTGATCTAAAGGGATAACACCAATTGGCAAGCTAAGTAATAGTGGAGAGACCACCTCGAATGCCCATTCCTGATAGTGAACTAGATGTCTATAACCATCTGGGAGCCTTCATCCAGTGGCTGATGGAAGCAGAGGCAAACACACAGTTAAACACTGAACTGAACCCAAGGAACCCAGTGGCAGAGAGAGAGGAGTGATGAGCAAATTGGCAAAGAATGGGCGGGCAAAACCAGCAGAGGCAGCTGATCTGAACAGGGGAGAGCTCTTGGACCCCAGACGGACAGTGGGGAGGCCAGCATAGGACTGATCTGGACCCCCCCAAATGTGAGTGTCAGCGAGAAGGCCTGGGCAACCTATGGGGCCTTGAGCAGTGGATCAGTGTCTATCCCTGGAATACAAACAGTCATTGTGTGCCCATAGCACAAAGAGGGATGCTCTCTCAGCCTGAACTCTTAGGGGAATGCCTAGACCCTACCCGGAGTGAAATGACAGACTCTAGATATCCCCTATGTGGAAGGAATTGGCAATAGGGTGGGAGGCTGGGGGGGAAGGGGAGTGCGGGAGGAGGGGAGGGAGAGGGAACTGGGATTGACATGTAAAACAAGCTACTTAAAATTAAAATAAAAAATGATATAAAAAAAGAATATGAATAAAACTGTAAAAAAAAAGGTTGAAAACCACCAGGAGTATTGGCAAGCAGCTTGGTTTGTGGGCTTGTTGGTAGAGAGCAAGCCATCTCTAG